GAGTCAATCATTTTGCACAACCATCTGCTTGTTCTCCTTTCTGTTTAAAACCTCTGGAGAAAATGAAGGTAGGTGCTAACCATTCCAGTCAGCCAAGACAGGAAACATGGTTTGTGGCTTGGCAACCCAAAGAGACAATATGTCCATGGGACTCAGCACAGACAAAGTGGCCGCATCACTCTTGTATAGTTTTGTAGGAAGTTATCACCCAGCCCTCTCCCAGAAAAATGAAATATCCTAGGAAATATTGAAAAGGCAGAATATTATGTTTCTCTGGATGTGAAAAGGAAGAAACATGTTTCAAAAAGACAAAGTAGCTCTCCCTGCAGCTTCCTGCCCCTCCCCTTTTGTCAATGAGCCATTAAAGCCCCAGCCAGTCCCTTTACATAACAAAGAGTTCTCCCCTTCAGCTCCAGGGGGATGGAATCAAGGCATGCTAGTATAGGAGGCCAGGAGGCCCCTGGGGAAACTGAGGCCTTCAGAAGGCCCGTGGAGGGTCTCCTCCGTCATCCGGGTCACGGCTGTCCCAAAGGTGCTTTTTAAGCAGCCACTAGACTCTCTTTGCTTTTCCTTCTTTCGTTTCTCATGGAGAAGCCGGCCGTCTTCAAAGGAAAACGTTCGGCTGCCTCTTGAAAAAGCCCCTTTGGGGTCACCCTGCAGACTAGACCCCCCCCCCCCCCCCCGTCTGGGGAGGAAAAGGAGAAAAAGGCACCTCAAAAGAATGGCGAACTGAGCGGAAAACCTGAGAGAAAATACAAGGTGGCTCCAAACTCCCAGCACCCACACAGAAGACCACGTGTGGAAGTCTCAAGCGCGGCTCAAGGAGGAGGAAGATGTTTCCCCTTCAACTGTTTCCCCTTCTGTGGAAGAAGGACGCTGGCCAAGCCCTCCCTTCCGCCCCCCCCCCCCACTCAAGTGAGGTTCAGGCCCTGCCTGAGACGAGGCTGCCTGTTCGTTTCCAAGAGAGAGGGGGGGGGGGAGAGACCATCCAGGCATTTTTCCTTCGGCTGTCCCTGAGCCAAGCGAGGCTAGAACTCCCAGCAGATGTTCCACTTCCAGCCGCTGCTGCAGCTGCACAAGTCTCCCGGGTCCAATTCTGCCTGGCAAGCAAGGCTGGGCTGCTCCCTCCCTCCCTCCCTCCCTCCCTGGGTGGGTGGGCTCATCTTCTTGCTTGGGAGGAGAAGTGAACTTTCCGTGGGATCCTCAGGAGGAGCCTGAGAAAGGCAGAACCGCCTCCACGTGACGTGGCCAGAGGTTGGCCTGGAGTCTCTTTCCGCCAGAACAGCCCGAATTGCAGACTGTGGTCAGCTCGGATTGTGAGGACAGAGCAGCTCCTTCTCTGGAAGAGCTGAGAACAGAAGACCCATCTTCCACAGCCGGGATTTCCTGCCGCTGAAGGAGACCCCTCCCCTCGTCCTTCAGACCCACGAGGGCATCATTTGGGTCACCATGGGGTCTGCTCATTACGCCCTTCTTTCCGATGCCCCTGGACTCCCGGGGCCAGACTCGGAGAGGGGAACCCGGCCCTGAGGCCACACGCCCCTCTCCAGCTAACAGGCCGCCCCGTCCTTGCATGGAGGACCTGGGTGGCCTGAGCCAGTCCGGGCAGAGGAGGGAAGCTGACATCTGCAGTTCTGCCAGGGAGCCGGGTTTTCCGCTGGTCTTTAAAATGCTTTGCTATGGGAAAAGGAGGTTTCACGTGGCTGGGACTGGCTGGCTGGCTGCGCTGCCTATTTTTACAGGCAAGGAGCCACGAGGAACAGACCCACGTTGAGCTTGCATTGCTGGTCTTGCAGAGGCTGCGGAGAAGTTCAGGTGTGGCTTGAAAAGGCAGAAAGTGTCATCCTGTGGCTCTCCTTAGAGTTTGCTCTCCACACATGCAGGAGGTTCTCTTTCTTTCTTTCTCTTTCTTTCTTTCCCTTCCTTCCTTCCTTCCCTTCCTTCTGTAATAGGAAGCGATTCCGTTTTTCTTTGTGATCACCCCGCTAAACCAGAAATCAAGTTTCAAAAAATCAACGTATCCCTTCATGGGCTTTCTTTTTTTAAAAAAAAGCATTTCTTACTGATGCTTTTGCAATCCTCTCCTCTAAAAAAGAAAGGAAGGAAAACTTGGTAGATTGATAGCCATGAGACCTACTTTTGTAGCCCTGGGATGAAAAACTAGGAAATCAGGGTTTGTTCTGAGTCCCCATGATTTCTCATAGCCAGAACACTCAAAACGTTTTGTTTTGTTCCACACAGAACAGGAAGCCTCCTGTGTGTTCTGGGCTCTTTTTCTCCTAACCCAGATGTTTTACCCCGAGCATAAAACAAAACGTACCTTCCATTTAATGCGAGTTCCTATTGCAACAACAATCCACTTGCTCCGTTATTTGTTCTGTTATGATGACCTTTATAGTTCTACGTTTCACTCATGCCAAGACCCCCCCTCCTTTCACCCAGCCTGCCAGAAGAGGGGTGCCCACAATTCCAACCAATAGTAAAATTAAAAGCTCCCTGCCCAAAGTAGAGTATTATGCCTCAAATAATAACTTCTCCCCCCAACCCAGCCTTTGACTGGTAACATCCTGCTTGGGCAAAGAATGTTTGCATGGGGACACACACACACACACACACACACACACACACACACACACACACACACACTTACCTTCTGCTATGCAAAGACATAGGAAGAGATTATGGATTTTATGAATTTATGGAAGTTGCTTTTATGTAAACATACAGTAAGAGGAGGATCTTGGCATATGTGCATTTGTGGCAAATAAAGACATCCATATGGTTGAAAGATATCATGGGAAGGGGATTTTTCCCTTGACAAAGAGGTTCATTCATTCATTCACCCCAAGTATCTCAATATACTTAAGGCCCAAGTCAACCCACCGTTACTAATAAGAGATCCTACAAAAGAGAAGGTTCTGCCTTCTAACCGTCTTCCACCAATGGGGTCAAAGGCCTTCCGGACGAATGCTTGACTCTCTCTGGGGTAGAACAGCCGGGCAACCATCCTACGGAGACTGCAAAGCAACACCCCCCCCCCGGTGTTATTTTCTCACCTTGGACTTCGGTCGAGGCGCTTCCGTTGGACCAGGAAGTCCACCTGTTCCTTTGCCTGCCGATCTCTTGCACTTTGCAAATATAGTGTCCTTGTTCGGCTTGTTGGATGTTCAGGATCAGAAATGCGTACATCGCCCTGTGTTTCTCCTCAAGGAGCCGAAGCCTTCGCTTGTAGAGGCGGCTTGTGTAGTTCCCATAGTACTGGACGACCCCAAATTTGGTCATTTTGATCATCAGGTATTCCTGGGCAGAGGGGAGAGCAAAAACCCACCGGACAGCCAAAAGGTTTTCCCTTCGCCTTTTCTGAGAAACGTGGCAGAATAAAGTGACATTATCTCCAATGAGATGCTGGGTCCTGGGTCCCGGGGAGACGGTCACGTTCAGAGCTTCACAAATATCTGCAAAGCCAAAAACAAAGAGGAGCTTCTCAGCAGTGCAACACCGAATGACCCTTTTCAGGTCTCAACCCCCAGGTAACAAAAGTATAGCTCTTTTTTTCAAAAGATGGGCTTTTAAATAATATGGGTTATCAGAGGAAAAACTGACTCAATTCATTTTATTTTGCTTATTACAGACGTCTTTATCCCCAAACCTTTGTATTTTTCCCCTAAGGTATCACGTTGAACCTTCTTGGCCTTTTAAAAATCCTTCCCCTGTATTTACGCCTAGGTATTTTTACTCTCTCGCAGTGGGGTGTCCAACCTTGAGGACTTTAAGGCAGGTGGGCTTCAACTCCCCAAATCATTCACTTGTTGGCAACTGAGGATTCTGCGCTCCTTTAAGCTCTTTTAAGCGCCACTCAAGGACGGCCACAAGGAGACATTTGATGTTTGGTTAAAAACAAGATATAGATGATAACAATTGCTTGGTCTACTTGGGGTGTAGTGGTTAAGGTGCCGACCTAGAAAGCAGGGTGCCGTGAGTTCTAGTTCTAGTCTTGCCTTAGGCACAAATGTCACTGAGGCCACTTTGGTTTGCTCTCGGCCCCACCCAGCCTGACAGGGTGGCCGTTGTGGGGAGGGGGGAAATAGGAGGGAGAAGGATTATTAGATATGTTTGCCCCCTTAAGTTACTTACAAAGTAATAAAGGTGGGGTAGAAACCAAATGAACAAACCAAGTTATGGATAACTATTGCCAGGCCTAAGCAGTTTCGGAATGGCCACACCAGGCACACTGGATACGCAAACGGGCCCATTAACTGGCAGCTGCAGGCAGAGAAGCCAAAGGCCTGGCTAGGAACAGCAGCCCCCCCCCCCCCCCCCAGGGGGGGGGGGTTGATGCTCCCGAAAGCCGCCCAGCAGCTCCAAGTGAACCAGTCAAGTTGCAACCCCCATCATCACCCCCATCTAGAGCTCAGGGTAGCTGAACGATTAACTAGCTCCAATTTTCCACACTGGCCAAAATCCTGGCTACCTCATGGACCCCCGTCAATCAGCAGGCCCCCATGGGCCAGAATTGCAGGATTTAGAGGAAGCTGGCTCATTTCAGGCATTTCTCTTCCTTCAGCAGGCAGAGCAACTGCAGCCACTAATCCTGGGGGGCCTCCAGGGATGCAGAGCAGATTCCCCCAGGCCCCAAAGCCCAGTCCAGATCTAGAGCTGCCCTCCCCCCCACACACACACCAGCCACCAGCCTCCCTCTTGCGCCTGTTATCCCTCTTCTCTTCTGCCCCCCCTTCTCTCCCCCTGGCCCCCAAGCCCAGAGGAAAGCTCTGCTGCCCCCCCCCCTCTGCCCCAGAGACCCTCCCCCTGTTTCCCAACCCTCCCCTCCCCCTCCTTGCCTCGGTTTCCCATTAAAAGGAGGGGAGGTCTGGACCTAGGAGGAGGAGGAGGGGGCACAACCCCTCCCCCGTCCCCTGTCTCCTGCGCGCAGGGGGCTGAGTTTAACAGCCCAGCACCTTCGCCTCCAACCGGCCGCCGGGCCTTCGCTTCCTTGGCTTGGAAAGTTCCGTGGCTCCCTGGCCGGCAGCGTCCCCGGGCCCTTGGCAGGCAGCGCTCGGGAGCCCGCGAGGTCCTTTTCCGTGGCGCCTCGGAGCTTTTCCCCGGAGGACCATTCAGCACCGGTGCTTGAAGGCGCTCGCCCATTTCTTCCCGCTTTCCCATTCGGAGGCGGCGAGCGACGCTCCCCGGACGTCCCCCAAGCCTTTGCCTCGAGAGGCGCCTCCAAGAGGGGCTCTTCCCGGGCAGCCGCTCCAGGCTCAGCCGCGCCGCCCTTCTCCTCCGGAGGGCCCGGGGGGGATCTTTGGGGCCCCGGCAGAAGGGTCTCTCCTTCCCCAAAGCGTCTCCGGGGCGGCGGGCGGACCGGGACGGAGGCCAGCGCTGCTCCCCGGGGAAGAGCTCCGAGAGCCGGACCCCTGGCCCTCTCCGGCGGGGCGCTGCCAGGACGGCCGCGGGGCTCCCGCGCCCTCCGCCCCGCCGCTCCGCTCCCGCTTACCTGCCCAGGGCGCGCCGGCCAGCAGCGCCAGCAGCGCCAGCAGCGC